CATTCTTGGAATGAATGGATGAGTTTCAAAACCAAGTCATTTTTTTTCTTTTTTTAAAATTTTATTTAAGGTATACAAACTTCATGTATTTTATACACACAAATTAGGAACAGAGTAATTCTCCCCACCCTACTCTCCCACCTGCCTGCACTCCCACCCTTCTTCCTCCTCTCTCTCCTATTCCCACTCTTAATTTTTACAAGGATCTATTTTCAGTTTCCTTTATACTCATAAGATTAATCCTACAGTAAGTGAAGAATTTAACAAATCGTATGAAAAAAAAGCTATTCCACAACAGTTGAGAGAAAGGCTGTAAACAATCATTGAATCTAAAAATTTCAATTTCACTCCTATACATTGCATATTAGATACCTCTTACTAGTTACCACAGATATTTGTCTTTTTGGGACTGGCTAAACCAGTCCCAAGTCTTTATACACCATGTCTTTGATTCAGGCGTTAGACGCCAGCAGGTGCTGCTCTCCCATGGTTTTCCAGCCTCCTTCCAACCTGAAAGTTTCCTAGCCCTACAGTTAGGATTACAAATCCACCTCTAACTAAAATTATTTCACTGAATTGAGGGAGTGGTGCAGTTGGCCCTAAAGAGTTCCTGACCACAAGACTCAGGAGATCATGTATCTCTCCTCTAGAAAACGTTTTGATACCCAGTCTTCTCTTGAAGTATTTCTTTTCCAACAGCCCTGGGCTCTGAGCAAGAATTAACTGCCAACTGACTGACTGGAGAACACTTTGCCATCATCAAAACTCTTAAAAGACATAACATTCCTAAACAGTCGTAGAAATCCAGAAGTACTACAGACCTGTGAGATGTTTAAGTACTGTGGTAAGTCAGAGAAGACAGCCATCTGGAAGCCCGGAAACGGTCCCTCACAAGATCCTGAATCTGATGATATTTAGATGCTAGATTTCCTAACATCCAGAAATGTGAGAAAAAGAATTCTGTTGTTTGTAAGACATCTTGTCTGTGGTACTTTGTTATAAACTATAGTCTATTATATTTTGTTTTAGTAACTTATTGGACTAAGACACCATGTAACCACAGAAACTGGGCTTGGTCTGTGTTTTCTATTCTGATCGGTTGGTCAGAGTTTATGATTTCATCACTGTCACATTGTCCTACCATAGCTTTATAATGGTTCTCTTTATCTGTTAGTATAGTTTTCCTACTTTTGTTTTTCTTTAAGCTTGACTCATCTACTCTTGTTTGGTCCTTCTGCATTCCCATATAGTTTTAGAATGAGCTTGTCATTTTCTGGTGAAAATACTGGAGTTTTTATTAAAGTTATGTGGAATCTAAAGATTAATAGTTGGAGAATCTATTTGTGAAATATTGAGTTTACAAATCTATGATTAGTTTATTTATGTATATCTTTAAGGTCTTTAATTTTTACTGTAATGTTTTATTGTTTTTGATGTTATAAAATTGAATCAATTTTTGTGGATTCTTAACATTTTCTTTCTTTAATTAAAAACTGTTTATAAGTATAGATATAGGCTTGTAATAAAATTAGGAAGAATATACAGAGATACCCCATATACTTACAAATGTATAGCCTCTTTAGTATGAATATCCTTTACAGAGTGGTAGATTTTTTATATTTGATGAGCCTATATTGATATATCATTAACCACCCAAAGTCCATAATTTCCATTAGAGTTTACTTTTGGTTGTACATTCTTTTGGTTTGTACAAATGTATAATATCATGTATCCATTTATAATGTCACACAGATTGTTTAGTAAATACTTAATAATTCAGTAAATATTAAACTTGCTAAACATTATTATCTTAATCACAATATCAGTAAGAATTATGTTCATTAAGATTTATTGGCAATACAAAGAGTCTCCTAATAGTTAAGGGAAAGTATGTATTATGAAAAACTGCATGGGTTTCAAAATTTTTGCACCAAGCTTATTATCTCATAAAACTATAAACATATATTTAATCCAATTTCCCTTGAAGTGTTTGAAATACCTCCATTATCTCTGTTATTTGCCCATTGACCCCTCCCTTCCCCCAATCCCTGACAAGCACTGATTTTTTTAAACATGAAGAATTTATTTATTTAATTATTTAATACATTTCTGTGTAAGGGTTGGGGAGAAAGAGAGAGAGAATGAGAATCTCACCCACTAGTCACTCCGCAAATGCCTTAATCAGGCAGTTGCGGCTGGGCCAGGCCATGGCTGTAGGAGATGGGAACTATTTCAGCTCATCTCAGGTTTCTCATACCCGTGCCAGAGACCCAAGTACCTGAGCCATAACTTCTGCCTACAAGGATGTGCTTTAGTAAGAACCTGGAATCGAGATTTGGAGCTGGGACTTGAATACATGCACTCTGATATGAGACCAAGGCCACCTAAACAGTGCCTTAACAGATGTCAGATGCCTACGTGCCATGGATTTTACTGTCCCCATAATTCTGTAATTTTTTTTTTTTTTTTGACAGGCAGAGTGGACAGTGAGAGAGAGAGAGACAGAGAGAAAGGTTTTCCTTTTGCCGTTGGTTCACCCTCCAATGGCCGCTGCGACCTGCGCACTGCGGCCAGCGCACCACGCTGATGCGCTGGCAGGATCCAGGTACTTATCCTGGTCTCCCAAGGGGTGCAGGGCCCAAGTACTTGGGCCATCCTCCAGTGCACTCTCTGGCCACAACAGAGAGCTGGCCTGGAAGAGGGGCAACCGGGACAGAATCTGGCGCCCCGACCAGGACTAGAACCCGGTGTGCCGGCGTCGCAAGGCAGAGGATTAGCCTAGTGAGCCGTGGCACCGGCCTATGTAATGTTTTAAAATATGATTTGGATGTTTGTTGCTTATACTTTGACATGTTATTGACTTTATTTTTTGACCTTGAATGTTGTGATATTAGAATGTACACTTACTAGTTCTAATAATTTTTGGATCCTTTTCACATCTCCTATTTAAATATGCCATAATATCAACAAAAAATTGTCACAGTTTCATTTCTTCCTTTCCTAAACTGTATAACTTTTTTCCCCCTCTTTTAGCATTACCTGGGAAACTTTAAAATGTCAATATTTTAATCATAATACTAGGAAAAAAGATTTAATTAATTCTAAATTAAATGTTTTCTGAGGCTTCTGGTAAATATTTCTTTTCAGAAAAATTTCTTGCCTATTTCTAGTATTTTAATTTGGTAGGGTTTATATTTTATTAAATATTCTCTTGCATAAATTTCTTGGTCAGATTTTAAAATCAAGATTATATTGTCTTCATAGGGGCTTTATCCCTTGTTTCTTTTTCCTTCTTTTTTTGGGGAAGATTTTTTGTTAAGTTTAGTGTTATTTCTTCTCTAACTGTTTGAGAAATTCACCAATGAAGCAATTTAGCCAAGAATTTTCTTTTAAGGAAGGTTTTTTTTTTTTTAAACTTTTAGGAAGGTTTCTTATTAGTGGAAACCTGCCCTAAAAAGAAGATATCAAATTACTCAGTTTTCTATTTATCTATTCATTTTGGTAGGTTTCAGTTTTGAGGGTTTTGTGTATTCTATTCAAATGATCAAAAATACTGGCTATTTACAATTTGTGACAATTAATAATGTCTTTTATTCTACATTTGTAAAACATGGAATGCTTATTATTATTTTAATAATTTGATTAAAATGTTGGAGATTTAAACATACATGTGACCTTCAGTATTTATTCATATATATTTGATCATCAGTAGCACCCATGTATTTACCCATGTATATTTTCCTTTTCAAATTCTTTATTATACATCATGGTTGCACAATTTGAGTCCGATTAAATACAATTGGTTTTCAGAATCTCTTTGAATGTTTTCTAGATTTACTACATGCAAGTAACCATGAAAATATTTGACAAATTTTTAAGTTGAAACTCTGAACAGGCATATGCATGAAGGAAAATATGACCATCCATGGATACTCCCACATTTAGAATAGATGCTCCCACACATGGTGCATGAATCCTTTGCCAATAAAGAAATTGGTTACTGACAATTCATCAAAGTGCTGTAGTAGTATAAAACAGGTTTAAAGAATGCAATTTGGGATTCTTAGCTTACTCATAATTACCTACTTTCTTTTTGCAATTTTGAGAGCTATATTGTGTTCTTTTGTATTCTATATTGGTCCTTATGTTCTTTTCAATGTTTTGTTAATATGAATAGCACATTTCAGATATCTCTGCACAAATAACATGTGGAAATGTTGTGAAAGCCAGTAAGTGCTGGGAAAACCAATAAGATGACATCATCATTATCTTCCAGTTGAATTATTCTGTTGGAATAATTTTCCCAAAGTGAATTTACAACATCAACAGACATGAACATTTTTCCAGCTCTTATTACATATGGACAGGATGGTTTCCTGACAAATTGAATCATTTTGCAATGCCAGTAACAATATGTGGAACATGTAAAAAATACTGAGAAGTTTAGCCCAGACATTTGTCCTACTACTCAAGATGTTAGTTAAGACACTCGTACACTCTCAGAGTACCTAAGCTTGATACATGGCTTTGCCTCCTGACTCCAGCTTCCTGCCAATGTAGACACTGGGAGGGGGCAGGCAATAGTGATGACCCAGTATAGACCCTGGGTTACTGACACCCAGGTGGGCAATCTGGAAATGAGTTCTGGGTTACTGGATTCAGGTGGGTGCAGCACTGCCTATTGCCAGCTTTAGAGAGTGGAACAGCAGATAGGATTTCCTTCTCTTTCTCTTTGTTTCTGTCTGTCTCTGTTTCTCTTTTTCTTTCTGTGTTTCAAATTAATTAATTAATTAAAAGTAATTCAGCCGGTATTTATTTTCAATATCCAATGAGTAGGTGTAGGTTGAGTTTAAACCTATACTATTAACCACAAACAGAATATTAAGCCTCAGAGAGGAACTATGACCCCAAATTCCTTATCTTTCCCACACTTACATTTTGTTCTGCAAAGTAGATTTTTTTGTATTGTCATTTGTAAAGTGATTTTTGTTATTTTTCAGGTACTTGCAGGTGAAGAAGAGAACCTTATCTGGTCTGTAATAAAGCCTGAAAGTCATGTATATAAGGGTTAAGGTACTGAACTGTAATCTGATTTTGAGCCAGTATGTGAAAAATTTGAATTTTCTCTCCTAGGCCTCGATCTTCCTGTCCTTTGGATTCTGTGTTTACCCGTAGCTCCTTGTACCCAGTGTCCTTGGTATTTAACTCTTTCATTTTTATCAATGGCTACCTGTTCAACTGTTTCGAGCATTTGGGGAGTGAACCAACATGTGGAAGATCTCTCTCTTTTTCTCTTCCTTTCTCTGTGTTACTCTGATTTTAAATGAATAAATAAATTCAAAAGAAATATAAAAAACTCTTTCATATTTTCTTTATTATATGTTTGCTTTGTGTTAATTTTTATTTATTTATTTATTTAAAGATTTATTTGAAACGCAGTTACAAAGAGAGGGGAAGAGAGAGAGAGATATCTTCCATCCATTGGTTCACTCCATAGCTGGGCCAGGATGAGGCCAGGAGTTTCATCCAGGTCTCCCACATTGGTGCAGGGCCCAAGGTCTTGGGCTATCTTCCACTGCTTTTCCAGGAGCATTAACAGGGATCTGAATCAGTTGTGGATCAACTTGGACTTTAACCAGCTGTACACGTGGGGTGCTGGCTTTGCAGTTGGTGGCTTAGCATGTTACGCCACAATCTGCCCTCTATTTCTTTTAATTTGATAAATATTTTCCCCATTTTTCTAGTTTCTTTTCATGGACAGTTAAATGATTTAATTTCAATCTTCTTTTCAATATGTGCATTTTAATGCTGTAAATTTCCTCTAAGTACTGTATTAATTGTACTCTAGTGAATGTCAAATATTCAGTGTGATTCACTTAAAAATGTTTTCTATTTTGGTTTCTTCATTGACTCATGGTATTATTTAGAAGTGTGTTGCTTAATTTCCAGGTCATATTTTTTTTTTCTTAGACATTCGTTTGATACAGATCTCTAAACAATTGTGGTCAGAAAATATATTTGCAATAACTTAATCATTCGACATTTGTTGAGGCTTCTTTTATGGCCTAGCATAGAGTCTGACAGGAAATGTCCCTTGTGCTCTTGAAAAGAGACTGTGAGTTCTCCCTTTGGATGTAACATTCTCTTCAGCTTGAATTTGGTAAAGTAGTTCAGCTCTTCCACATCTCTACCTGTTTATCAATTACTGGTTGAAATGTATTAAAGTCCCTAACTCTGTGGATTTCTCTGTTCATTCTGGTGCCTTTCGTTGGTCATTAGGAAATCTTTCTCTACATCTCACGTGCTGCCCCTTGCCTTGATTCTGATTTGTTGGTTAGTTGTGCACCTAAGCCAACTTTATTTTGGTTGGGAATTGCAAGGTATGACTTTTCTCATTTTGTTTTGGTGTTCTTAAAGTATGTCTCTTCAAGGCATGTATGGTAGTGACATGTATATTAAGCTGATACACATTGTATCACTATTTTTCATAACTCTAGAGACTACAACATAATCTTGGATTATTACAGTTTAGTATGCAATATACTTTAATGATTTTTCCAACACTGTCAGATCTTCAAAATGTTTGGGTTCCATTTGTTTCTCTCCAATGCCTTGTGACTGCTTAAAACATCATTGCTATCTTTTTCCCTATTGGGAATATTCTGCCTAGGATATGCTGAAGCCCGGACAAGTATAACCATGTTACACATAGGATTCACTGATGCCCACAGAGTAAGAAATATCAGCTTATCTCGCAAATGTTACACTCTTATGGAATTTCAGTGCATCACATAATCCTCCTTGCTTACGGAGATCACTGATATCTTTTAAAACATGACTTCTGTGATTTAGTCTCCCTCTCTTTAGCCTGGCAGTGAAAGAGTTGACCTCAGTATGCCATATTGCATATTATTGGGAGATGGAGGTCCTTTGTTAACACCATAAAACAAATAAGTTAACCAAATAGATTTCTCTTATTTTAGTGTCCTGTTTTTTTATGTGATTTGATGATTGAGGATTTATAGAGACTTGCACAGAATTTTTTTTATAAACTGGAATCTGATTACTAATGTCTTTAGGGTAGATATTGGAAAGAACAATAGTTGTTTTAAATTTCCTACCGTCTTATATAACTGCTTTTAAAGCATTTCACTTCTGCTATTATTGAATGAATCTAACCCAGTGAATATGAGTGTATAATGTGTTTGATTTTTCACTTTAGAAAATTGCATGTGAGAAATGGATGCAAAGTGACTAAAATGAAATACTATTACCTGACCACCAAATTTTGAGCAGATTCTAGGAGTCAGTGATGTGAACTATAGACTATCAGATAAAGGGAACTAGCAAGCTAGTTTATTTTCTAAGTCATTCCATTTTAGAGTTTTTACATTAGGATCAGTTGTGATGAAATTTCCATAATAGAGATATCATTTGGAGTTACTAGGGGTGATTGTATTCTAGACAGATGGAACACACAACTTATGTTGAGGAAAAACTTGGAATTAGTAGAAAATAAATCTTTAGATACTCAACTAATATAATATACATTATAAAATCTGAACATGTGCAGTTTTTCTTTTTCTGACACGACAGGTACTGTAGTACCTGCTACTAGGTACTACAGGTACTAGGTACTACTTGCTAGGGAGAGATTCATATCACCTTGCTTTCTTGTTGCACAGCAAAAAGTTAGTTCACCAGTACTGACAGATAAAATAGTGATGCTACAGGAAACACCCATAGAAAGAAACAAGAAATCATTTCTGGTCATTATGATTCTTGCCTCCATCTTAATTCAAGAGTCTTCTAGGACGATATTCCATGGTATAGGATTGTTTGGAGTACTAAGCTCTTCTCAGATAGTAATATATTCTTAATGTTTTCAGCATCTGTGGACCTTAGGATTAAATTTAAAAAATCTGTCTGTGTCTTCATGTGGGTGTGAATGCATATTGAAGAGATTTTGCAGAGGTTAACCTTTCTCTGCAGGGAATTCTGGGAAACCGCACTGTGCACGGCATCTTTCCTTGTAAGTAGATCTCCGAGTTCTCCGAGGTACTGAATGCTGGCACAGAAAGCAGTACATCATCTTGTTCTTCTGAAACATGCACCAACTGAGAAACACTGCCAGCCCTAGGAGGAGGGCTTCCTATTCCTATAGCACGCTTTCCTGCCAAACTCAAACCGGCAAGCACATTACTTGCAGAGCCTACTTTTCTCACATCTGATTTTTGGACAATGATTTTTGACTGAGGAGATATCAAATACACGAGACAGAAGTGTGAATTCACTACTCACAGCTTAAACATTCATGCATGAGCACTGAAACGCTCCAAAGTAGTGAAAATGGTGACATGGCTAACTTTAACCCAGGGCTTATCATGTGCCAAGCTATGAGTCAGGCATTTCATGTATTCCGCCTCGTTTAATCTTGGTCACCAATGCTATCTGAAAGGTTTTAGCTATGGTTCACTTCAATCATGTGGAGTAGTAAATACAAGGTAGCACTTGCTTGAGTAAGTAGCATTATTTTCCTTACGTCCCTATCTCATGATAGAAGGTTTTGGTAATGATTGGAGAGCTTCTTCTTAATTTTTATGATTCTTCTCCTTCCCGCTCTGGGTAAAATAGTAATCCTATCCTTCTTGACAGTTAAATGTTCCGGAAAGAAGCCTTCATGACCTAGTGCACACATCACTCTGTTTAGCTCTGATGATGGTACTCTAATGTGGTGGAGGCTCCATGAGCCTAGACTCCTGATAAGAACTTCCACATGCCCTACAATTCAGATAACATGACTAAAAGATGCCTGCTTTCACAGAGGGGACATTGCATATGTAGAAAATGAGCCTTTCTTATGTTAAGCCAGCACGTTTGTCCTCTCAGATACAGATATCAGGGGCTGGGATAATGTTTCATAGTGTTAGGGACCAAGGCCCGCTGTATCCTACTACTTTAGCAAGGGTTACTAGTATTTCCAAGCATACCTCACAGTCCCGGATGTGCTTGGTCCAAGCCATAACATCTGCATTCCAGCCAATGGAAGGAGGTAGGAAAAGAATTGACAGAGGCATTCCCTTTCCTTTTACAAATGCTCCTGGAAGATTTCATGCGTCACATCCACCCACATCTCATTTTCCATAACTTTCTGACATGACCATGCCTGGGGAAAGAAGACTCTGGTTGGCTTTTTGCTGTTGTTTATTCCAGAATTGACCACACTCCTGGCTAAATATGAAGTCTATTACTCTAAGAAAGGGTGGGAATCACGTTGACAGACAATTAGGCCATCTGCAAAGGTAGTTCCAATAGTCTCCATTTGATAGATGAGAAAACAGAGACTGGAATGGGTCAGTGTTGTCGATATTGTACAATAGTTGAGGGTACCTGATTAAGAACACAATGTGACTTGCAATGCTGGAGTGCTAGCTACAATGCTGTACAACTTCCACGGTTTACCTGTAGAAGACATTTTTAAAAATTTTTATATTGCAAAAAAGTTCTGTGGAATCAGATTGATTCGACTTTTCTGTTTTCTTTTGTTCCCATCACACTTGGAGACAGATGTGACTGTAGCTGCCAGTCCTGTTATTAACCAGTCAGATTTTTTAAATTCACAGGTTAGGCACATAATCAGCTTTGTCAGGTCAATCTATCATCCTCCTTTGTTATGTCTATTTTGAAATGTTAATTCTAGTGCCATCCTGTTAGTAGTGGCTTGGCATAATTGTCATGTAAGAATATCAGCATTACAATACAATTTTAAGTCTTAAAAATCATATTTAAGTAACAATTTAAAATGCAGACTCCATTCAGAAATTGATACATGTTAACTAAAAATAAGACTGTTTAATATTTTTCAAGCAGTATTAATAGAGCGTGGCTGATACACATAATTCTTTATAACAATCTCCCAACATTCCTTATACTAATTTGATTTCTTCTCCATTTATAAGCCTTATTTGTCAGTGTTTTCCAGACGTAGCAAAATATTCAGCAAAATAATTGGGAAAACTTTAGTAAAATATATTAATCACATGAGATTATTGCACTACATGATTTTATTGATA